TACCGCTCCCACCGCTTTCGCCTCCCACCCCTCCCCTAACTCATCAGAGCTGCTGGTCTCAAGTCTTATAGCTGTTTATGGCTTCTTACAGTCATACTTACCATGTAAGACATAAATTTTTACTTTTATCGTTCTCTATATATATTTACGCCTTCTACTTTTACTTTTTTAGCTACATATTTGTGCTAAATTTATTATAATATTCCTGAGCTTTGATTGTCAACAACAGCTAAATAAATAAAAAACAAATCAATAAAGGCCGAAAATGATGGTGATTTCAAGAGTGAATGGTGGAAAAGGGAGATGGTCGAAGAGGACAAACAGCGCGATTTGCAGAATAAGGCAGAGCACTCTGTTGGCGTGGGAGATTTCAGGAGGCAAGGCAAGGCACTCATGATGACAGCAGCAGCAGCCCATATTCCCACACTGCGCAGTTTTCAAGCAATTGACAAATCCCGAAATGCCCTCACAAACCAGTACCAGCCACGAGAAGGAGATTGTTTGTCACAAAGCTATTACCACACCGCCACTCCACCAGTTCGCAGCTGGCTGCTGACCGTCTCCCAGCCATTCTCAACCAATCATGCTCACACCTGCTACTCGACACCTTGCTCCAGGAGCGATTCTCTCAAATTTGAGATGTTCGCGTGGTCAGTAGGGCATGCACTGATTGGTGGCGGGTTAGAGACACACAAGGCTTCTTTGTGTCGATAGGTGAGCATTTCCGCGGTTCGTGAGCAATCTCATCGGACCTTGCCCTCTGTGGCGAATCGGCGTGAATGATTTCCTTGTACTATGTCTCGCGAATATTGCTATGTGTCGAAGTAACCGATAATTTCCATTAAATGAACTCAAGCGATGAAGTTCATGCCATGCCATGCCATGTTGCCGCCGTTCGCTCGGTGAAGCGGGCGAAAACGGCTCCCTAGGGCGAGTTTCCTTCATTGAATCTCTCCCTTTTCATCCTTGCTGCCTATGACTATGACTGAAGACTCCTCCTGACCCATCATCACCCATTGGGTAAGAGTTCGCTCCATTTGAGATGATGAATGTTCCACAAAACGGAAAGGCCGGCAGGCAGGCAGGCCATCGTGCACGGCAGAGACTCTGTAATTGAAGTGGATGAGAGGTGCGTTTTATTGTTGCCGCTTTGCCCCTCCGTCCACCTAACTATCCCAAGCGTCATTAAATCTCTGAATGTGCCACACCACGCTGACTCAAATTCATCCAGCTTCAGCCCTTTTTTCACTACAATCCACTTTCCAAAGGTTGATGTCGCTAGATCGGCCTTGAATGTAGCGATCCTTTGGATATGCCCTTATACGACTCCTTTCTTTAATTGTCTTTCCGGAGTTCGTGCTTCATACCTCTTTCTCTGCTCATTCTTTAGCCCCGCGTTCATAGCTCGCGATTGGCGATTCGGCGATTGAGCGATTAGGCGATCAAGCGAACAAAAGTTGGCCAGTGGGTGATTAAGCGACAACATATCTCCATAGCTATTCTTTAAAATTGAGAATAGCTAAATCTTCGCTCAAATTGGAGCCTTTCTAAAAATACTTACTCATTTCTTCCTTCGTCGCGAATAGTTCACTGGTTTTTCATCACACTTTTTTTTCTTTTTTGTTCTTTTCGTTCTTATCTTTTCGTGTCAAGGAATCGCTTTTTCGAATCGGATATGCATGTTTCTGCGCATAACCGCTATGTGCGATGAAGTTCGGCGAAATAACGGGCATTTCTATATTGTCTGCATATTGTTCGTAGAATCGCTATCGAATGTTATTCACCTTTTCGCAACCTTTTCCTATCGTTCGTCTCGATTTGAGGCTGCTCTGTGAACATGAGGTGTGACGAGTTTTCAATGCACCCATTACTATCGAACTCTTCCAGGGACCTATTAAAGCACAGCGACCTGCAACTTTGCCCCTGAAGATTTACGTCAGCTCATCGACGGTGCTTTCTCGACTTTGTTCAATCAGCACAATATTAAAACGAGTGCCGACGTCCCGATTGGATTAGCGTGGAGGTGAATCGCCGCTGCATAAGTGCCGCACAACATCTTCACTCGTGCGCATCCGCTGACTGACTGACTGCATCACGTATCGCTAGCATGTAACCGGAAGCTACAGATATTCTACCCAGGGATGGACCATTTTTTATCATTCTTACTGAATTATTTGGTGCTTACATTAGGGGATACGGTAGCATACGGATAGTCTTTAGTAGGTTAATATAGCTTCAATTGAAGTCTTCAAAACGGCATAAAAAAGCACAAATCGCAGCATAGATCGATATTGAAGGTTTCTTTCTGTCTTTCCAAGACCCCAAAATCCTGAATCAGCCAGTGAAACCAAATTCTATTCCCCTAAAAGACAACGGGTCGTATTCCCAATGGTGCCATAATGCTCTCAGGACGTCCCTTGCAGCCAATATTTTTCTTCCATTTGAACATCAGAGAATTTCAGGTCTCAAAAGAACACTAATATGCCGAGAAGATGACGACATATCGACATTTTATATTCCTACTACTATTTCACACATTTCTAACAGGTCAGTCAGACGTTTTTCCACACAGCATGACGCGCATGCGCGTCAGATTTTCACACGAATGGGGGGCATCGTTGTGCTCAATTTACTTGGTATTTTTTCGTGTTAGGAAGCAGTCTGTTCACATTATCGGATTAAGGAAATATTATATTTATTACCTGTAACAAAATTATTGATGGGGTAGCCTAATTTTGAGAAAAATTCTTTGGAAAATGCCGGCTGAAAGCACCCACAACCGGCTGCCGTCAATATGTGTTAATGCCATATCAGAATGAGGAACCCGGTCATATAACTGGGCAGTTATGGGCCCCAGTCTTCTCTTGCACTGTTCCCACTACCTCTAGAGCGAGCATGACCTTGGCCTGACTTGCAGGAGGGCTAGGTTGCCTGGCTCTCATCAAGCGTACATAATAGGAGCCCCAACGATGAAGTGAGGGCTCAGATGTGCTCTATCGATGCTCCTGTGTTATTCTGCTTCACATATCCGCATGCGTCCGTCAGTCGTGCGTACTTCAGAGTGAGATTAGTGGCGTCGCTGAAGAGGACAGCCAGCCGTTGCCGCGTGCCGTCCTTTGCCCGCCGCCTGACTTCTTCGTCGACTCTTGTTGAGTCATAATTGAACGTCAGGCCTCTTCGAAAAGCTGCGCCACATTTGTATGCAAATCCAATCCAACCGCCTCTTTCACCAAGTTAAACGGAATTTTCAACATTCGTACACCTCGCCAGATCGAAGAAGAAAATGGTAAACAGCGCCACGCGTTAGCTATGAAGCGGAAAGTGAAAGTTCAAGCTTCGGCGACGTCCAACGGAATTGCAACCAACTTGAATCAGTCGAGCAGAAACAGCGCGAGTGGCAAATCTGAAGCTTTAGAACCGAAAATCCACTTTCCCTCTAAAGGAGTCTATCACCAATGAAGGGCGATAAGACAGTGTTTACCAACTCTTCTTGAGATGCGCCATGCACTTAACTCTCTGAAAATTGGTGGAGGTACCTGCAAATGGCCGAGGTCTTAACAACACTTCCAGGTAAAAAATGGTTTTTTCGGGGAAGGGGAGAGAAGGGGGGCACTCACTGTGCTCTGCACCTCTAACTATCATTGATATTATGCAATCTTTTGATTGAAGCTATATCGGCGTTCTAAGGAGCCGCTAAGTATCCTCCATCTACATCTCTCCAGATCCATCCAACTTTTTGCACCACGTGCTCAGTGATTTCCCCCCTGGATCTCCCGCTTCATCTTAGGCTTAGGCAACAATGTCTACCTCTGACTCGGAAATAGTATCTGCTCACTCTTGAAGGGCAAAATTTGAAAGCCCCTCAGGAGTACTTTTACGCTTCCTTTCAGTCTTCTCGAGCGGATAAATCGATCGGTGTGGTGTGCTATCAAGGCTTCGTCATTAGTGTCAAAGATGCTCTCATTCTTTTCCTCAATGTAGAGACGCAGAGAACAACGAAGAGACCCTCTAACTCCATTTTTGCCGAGTTCTATTCCCTTTTGATGTATTATACAAATGCAATGCGGTGCCCCTACTCATGACCTTAAAGGCATGGGTCGGAATCGAACTGCTATGTTGTTTTGCTGAAAAACCAGAGAAGTGCGATGAGGCACGTGAGCGGGGAAAAAGAGCAAAACAGATAACACTAAAATTTACCTTGTGAGGCCGATAGACAGAGAGACAGTTTTTCGAGCGAGAGGAAAAGCGCGAGAAAGCACATCGTACGCAAGAGAGCACAGATGCCAAGCATGCCGCGAGTGATAAGGAGAACAGCGATGACAACGGAAGAGGCACGGCTTAGCGCCTTTACAGGGCACAATTGAGGGGGAGGTAGGCAATGTCGCGACCCTTGTGCTTGGGATTCCTCTTTGGCACCTTAATCCCGAGCCTGTGAGCTTTAACAAGACGTCAATGAAAGTTCGATGAACCATGCAAGGAAAGCGCCAATAGCTAACTTCTTTGCAGGATGCGCCATCATCTGTTACGATTGCCACAGCGACCAAGGCACATGCAACGAAGGCGAATGTGAAGGACTTGTGTGCATCAAAATGGAGACGTCAAACAAGGACAACGGTAAAAATTTACCCTTTTTGAAGACAACTGCCGCCATACATAATGAAGAGGGGGAAAAGTAAACTGAAATGATGACATCTCTCTCACCCTCTTTAGGTTCTTTACGCCTAGAATCAAAGACAACCGTACCGTAAGCTCCCAAAGCTCGTTATTCAGATTCTTGAACAACAGAGCTCAATGAATTGCGACCTAACAAAATTTCTATTCGTTTGACTGGTTGACACAAGGCACAAACCATCAACTTGACTACCCTTCCTTTCAAAACGAGAAGAGCGTCGGGTGCAGACCATACACCACAAGTGACGACGGCCTCCAAGTAAATCTTAGTAGTGGTTCATAGTGATAGCTGATTTTTGGTAAATGATAGTTGTAATTAGTGACAACTGATAGAATACAACTGCAACAGGCTAATCATTTCATTGGCAGAAAACATTTACATTTTGTGGAGGCCGTCGTCACTTGTGGTGTATGGTCTGCACCCGACACTCTTCTTGTGCTACTTTACTAGGAAACTTTTGGCTGAAAAGCGCTGCTTTTCAAAAAAGAGGTTAAAAAGACAGGTTATGAGGATTCGCTCTCGGACAAGAGCACCGTTCACAAGTGCTTTGAATCACTTAATATTGACGCAATATCTGCATATCTAAAAAAAGCAGAAAGCAGAAAAGACTGAGGGAAAGCGAGAGGGAGAAAAGCGGGCGAAATGACCACTTATCGACGCTGTAATCGAAATCACTTTTCAAGTTAGAAAATAATTAATAAGAAAGCGAAAAAAAGCTATGTAGTTGAGCAAAAAATTCAAAATTTGAAATACGCCAATCTTCTCTTCCTCCTGCCAGCCTCCTCTGTCTAGCTGGCCATTATAAAGCATGGGTTTTGCTACTGAAGTAATTTTCATGTTTAAGAAATTCTCACAAAGAATGAACATTTTTTATTTTCTACAACATTCATACCTAACAAATTAAACGAACTCACACTAGAAATTCAAAAAGAAATGCCCAACCTATAAAAGGGAAATAGTGGGGGGGGGGTGGGAATGCACGCAAATGTTTGAACCATTTTGTGAGATTCTTTGTCCGAGGTGTTCCCAGTTCTTTGACTCCTGAAATTTTCTACTCACAGCGCCTGGTCAAGGTAAACTGTCACCTTGGTGCAATAGGATTGATGGTACCGATATTCCACAGCCCCTCTTTCGAACCCTTCTGAACAAACAATCCGGTCTTTCGGATCTTTCGCTCAAGAGATTCCGGAAAGTTGTCAATATGTTACTTTACTGGCACAGAATTTATGTAGAAAGTATTAATAGGCCGCTTTCGCAAAAATCGTCCAATTTTAGGTCAAAATTGAGTGGAATTTCCATACTCTGAAATTTCCTTGAACAAAGGGGACACGGTACTGTCATGGTACTCTTGGCCCTAACTATGGCTTGAATTCGATGCGAATAATTTCGTGGGACATTTTCATTTCAGTGCTTTTTTTCCTTCCTTGTGCTTCATAAAACATTTCCCATCTTAAGAGTTCAGTGAAGTTTGAGCCTTCGATGCCTATGGCAAGCAGATGTCTACGCGACGCGGTCTCAACGCATGCGTCAAACTCCTGAGCTCATCCTGAAGGGAAGCCGTAGCCGAATTTGAGCACGTATTAAGCCGGACATCTCTGCTACAACAGCACTGTAGAGGCGCCCTACCCCTATTCAGCGGGTTAGTAGGGTAATGACAAGTGGCGCTACTTACCACGTGCACGGTTCAAGGATCAAATCTTGGACCTAGGCCATAAAAGCCAACTAAACCGCCTGCCGCTCCGGGATCGGTTAACTGTTGCCAGGGTTGCAGTGGAGGAACACTGACTCGTACACCGGCATGGCAGTTGGCATCATTTGAGGGCAAAATCGCATTCAAATTGCCTAGCTTACGGATACCGTCGCAAGCGGAAGCGTGTGCACTCGAGGGGAGGCGGCTGTGGAAGATTTTGAGGCAAGACGCCAGTCACTGGCTTGATCAGACTGCTTTTTTGAGCAGATAGAAAGCGCCTAGTGTTCAGACACAGAAGTAGACCATCAAGGTTTTCGCCTTCTCCCCAACTCTCTTAGAGAAGACCAAGAGCAAGTGTTGTTTCAGACCGGAGGACGATTCAAAAGAGTTGCGGTGACGAACACGAGGAGGTCGCGTGCCAGCAGTCTGGCTTCGGCAGCAAATGGATGTCACGATGTGTTTGCGACACTCCGCTTTGCAATGGAGATCAGGTTCGTGAATACACTTGCTCGAGAACTTACATCTCTTATCAAACAAGCCCTTTTCCCTCTTAAACCCTGTCACGATAGCAGCTACTGAAGCGCCGTAGTTAAGTTTCCTTTATTACGATGTTCGTATCAAGGTCATTCTATCTAGTTACATTAAGCCAACGAGTAATCCTTTTTTATTGTTTTGTTTACGTGTTTTTGGGAGCAGTTTGCGATGACAATGCTTTAATAACGAGGCCAAGTTTTTTTTTTACACTTCGCCCCAAGCGAAAGTCGGAGACCGTTGTCACACTTGGCGAATCCAGCGATTCGCTAGCGTACGCGGTCGCGTTGCGAGACGAGAGCCTAATCGAGTGATTAGATGGCCTGCGACCGCGATTCGTCTAACGGCTCACCGATGCCCTGCTTTCCTCAGTCTGACATCGGCCGAACCGATGTCGGTTAACGGAGCTGCGAGTTTGATTGCTTTTGCGGCGAAGTGTTTCGCCCTTACAAATCATTCTTGTGATAACTTTGGAATCACGAACTTCGATGAAAAGCAGCAAATCCCAAACCAAACACATAGATTTTCCCACTTTATAAGACCCCACGGCCTTTGTCGCGCACTTTGACCCGTGACAACAGCACATCTGAAGTCTTTGTGGGTAGGTCTATTTTCCTCACAGGATAGACTGATCCACCTAAGTTGATCGTTGGTTGTCGCTCCAAAGGGAGGTCACAATCAGAAGCCAGCCATTAGAATTAAGGTAGAGGTAGTCATGGTCCGAGACGGAAGAAAAAGAAGGTGAGCACTGCTCTCCAGCCGTTGTCAAGAACTGCTATTGCGGCCTTTATGCACAATAGCCTGCTTCCTTTTCTCACAAATGTCCGTCCATAAATTGACTGAATTTTTTGATTTCATTTCGGCGTCAGTCTCGATATGACTGCGATTACAGGCGTTGATTGACGCCGGTCTGGAGCCGTCCTCAGCAGCTCCTCCACCTGGTCAATTCACACAGTTCGCACTGCTGGTCGCTATCCTGGTGTTCGTCGGCGCCAGCTGCTCATTGATAGTGATCGCCACGATCTGTGTTCAATTCTGCTAGCACCTCCGCGATGCAGCCTTCTCAGATAATTACGAGTGATTGGAATCTATGCTGTGCACTCTGCTAATTTATGTTTCTTTTTTGTGATCAGTTCATTTTTCAAGAAAAAAAAACCAATCAAATCGAAGTAGTTACCACCATGATTGAACGTAAGCATTGCTTCTGGCCGCTGTCACCATTGCTCAGACGTTTTATCTATAGCAGCTACATGGTTGGTCAGCTTTCCCTTGTTATTTCCACGCGTAGCAACCGGAGGCGTGATAATGGACGTATTTTGATGGGATGGTTTGGAAAACAGCGGAAATACCTTTAGAAATACTAGTGTTATCTTGCTAAACTTGAAAGCTGGATTCCGTAACCTCTAGAAAATATTCAGGACAATATCTAGGGCTTTGTGAAGAAGAACCACTTAGCAAGCTTCACGTGCAAAATTAAAGAGCAAGATAAATTAAAGGCAGAGTTTACGACGAAGAGGCAGCTCACTAGATATCATGGTAGAGCAGTGGTGCAGGGAAAACCATTAGAAACGGTCCAATATCCGAGAAATGGGCACATCCTTCACTCATAAATTACCGCATTGATGCGACTCTCACGGTGCTACCCTCTTGAACGCTTACGCTCTCTCTGCTAAACGGCTAGAACCAGACGGCGAGAGACTAGTACGGCTCTGCTAGGCCGCTATGGGCATACTATTCGCTGCGAGACGTACATCGTCGCGCACCATCAGAGGGTGCTAGCTGCCTTTCCACTAGGTGTAGCTCCCTCTAATCATCGCGGGACCCTCCTTTAAGAGAAAACTGCCGGAACCACGCTGATTTCAGGATCACGCAAGCTGGAGGGTAGAAAAGCAAACGAAGATGAAATCACAGCACCGTGAGGCTGCTCTGAAAAGATGACCGCCAAGAGATGGTGACAGCTGCCTTTAATTCATTAATTATGTCCCCACACAAGACTTATCTCAACCAGTAAAAGGGACAAGTGGTGCGACTGTCGGTACCGCTTACAAAAATCTTCAAATTTTGCTGGGGGAGAAACTCCGTGCGTGCGTGAGCATTCCGCTTTCGTTTCACACCACTCCGAAGCTTCCTTCTCCTGCAGAAATTGAGTTACTTTAGGCGATATATGAAGTGTCGCACGACACGTCCCCTTACTGGCGATTACCCCTGGCTGTTATTTTCTAACGAAGTTATAGTATCCATTCGTCTTTCACTTACTATGCAGTATTGATTTTCTATCCCTCCCTCTTTTGCACCATTGTTTCACCTAAATCTACGAATTTGTTGATCTTTGTATTAGTTTCTGATAGAATGTAACTATGATACTATGTGATTCTACGAAATGTAATACGCATTCAAAGCCACATCCGCAGCCAAAGACGTTGACCGTAGTACCGCACGCATGTACCTCCCCTTCAAAAAGCGAGAAAGTGTCGGGTGCAGACCAAACACCACAACTGACGACGGCCTCCAAGTAAATCTGGTTAGAAGTTGTTCATAGTGATAGCTGATTTCTGGTAAATGATAGTTGTAATTAGTGACAATCGATAGAATACAACTGCAACAGGCTAATCATTTCATTGGCAGAAAACATTAACATTTTGTGAAGGCCGTCGTCACTTGTGGTGCATGGTCTGCACCCGACACTTTCTCGCTTTTTGAAGGGGAGGGTACGCATAGAAACACACCCTGTTTAGCTGTCCGGACGTGCCGTCATTGCAGACTCAAATTAAAGATGGCTGGAGCACGTGAAAAATTGGTACGCGTGCTTTTTTAATGATTTTGAATTTTTCGGATGATACGAAAATCACTAATCACAGAAAGGAAATGAAATGACCGGCAAAAGGAGATAAGTCAATAATCAACGGTGGTGCAAAGTCCGCAATTACGACAAGCCCGACCGCAGAAAGGAAATAATTTTGGTTTAACTGCGTCCCGTGCGCTCAACGACTTGGACTGCGTCTCATAACATTGATAAACATGACATTGTTCCCTAAGTTTGAGTTTTCAATAAATAATTTATGAACTTCGAAACCAACATCTATCAAATTGAATGGATTGAGGCAACTTCTAGAAAGAGCTCCATGATCCTTCAAAGCGTACGCGTGAATTTTCAGATAGAAAAACTCAGTCAGATGGGTCCAATGCTGATGAGTAAAAAGAAGGGGCTTTCATTTCCGACCAATCCCCTTATATTATAAGTCGATTCTCTCAGCTTCGAGCTTTACGTTTCATTCAACAGCCTTCAGCACAAACAGAGCACATAACTCCAAAAGCACGTCCCAAGGTCAACCTGGTGCGATTACGCACACTAAAATGAAAGCAGAGATGTGATGTGGACTGATGGGGAGAGGTGACGTCTAAACACTGAAATGAAGGGGAGAGACTCATTCTTGTAATTCGCTATGGTATGAGAGACTGAGCGCGGCGAAGAGAGGAGAGAGCACAATGGATGACATAGGGCAGACACCAGCCTGTTGGGATTGAGATCAAATGGAAGCGGTCGAAGCGGTCTTGGTAAGGTTTTAGGGCTTTTGCCGCAAACTTCCGAGTGGGTAGAACGGCATATCCACAAGTTCAGCAGACGCCTCTACGTATAACATAACCAAAGGGATTGATCTACGCTAACACGCCGTGGGGTGGAAGGGGGAGCGGGGAGGGGGGGGGGGAGCGGAAGGGGAGTGCTTCCAATCCATTTAAACTACATGCATGGACTCTTTAGCACTGAAGGTACGAGTTCCTTCAAAGAAAACGTCAGTGCAGAAGAAATCCCCCCGTAAAAGCAGCTGTCAAGTACTGTGAAGACGAGCGTTATCAAATCAGCAACGCTATTCTATGCGGTATAAACCAGAGGAATCGTGCGCATACACCACAAAGAATAGAGCATCAGTATCCATCCATTCCTTTTAGAATGTGCCACGCATTGTACTCCTACTCAAGATCGTGGTAGCATTTTGAATGCGATTTCACCCATCCAATGATGTTTGGGGACGGGCTGATAAACGAGCCAGTGTTATAATCCTTGCAGAGTTGTAATCCAGTTGCATAACTGACCCCGGAGGAATGAAGAGCCTAATTGGCTTACGCGGGGCATCTCAGTTGGTTCGGGATTTGATCCCCGTGCGCGTGGTGAGCAGCGCCATTTGCCACAACAACACTCCTACCCCAAACCGTTTACTTAGCCAAAGCAATAAAACGTTAGGCTACTTCATGGTCATGCCAGGTTTGTGCCTTCCCATTGAAGTGGGACCAGCTAGTTGGCAACGACCAAGTGGAATGCTCAATAATCTAAGAAAATTTGGATTTATGGACTTGGTTAAGGTCACTGCCATTAGGCAATGCTTTGAGACTGTTAATCGTATTCAGAAGGGCAGAATCTTGAGGATAGAGGATACGATTTCTGGGGACTACATGTTCTCATTCTCTCGGAGCCCCATGGCTTGCACGAAAAAAACTATTGACTGGTAGTAAGTGACTGACCAAATTTCAATGGAGAGCCCTTCCTTTTGAAGCTATTTTTCCAAAACATTCTTTTCAAAATCTTCAGACCTGATGATTACGATACAATGTTGCATTTTGAGCTCTTCCATTTTCATCCATTGATTGGCTTCATTGGCGATTTGCAGCTCAGCTATCGCAAGACGTACAAGCATCTCCGAGCACGATAAGGCCACCGGAATTTTGTTGCCCATTCTGAAACAATTCACATATTGAATGGTTAGAAATGGACGCGAAATGAAAGGAGTAAGGCAATGGATGAGAAGGCAATGAAAGAAGTCGGAAAGCAACATAATATCCAGCGCTTAATTCTGGGTGGCGCCTAAAAGGCTTTAGACGTAGTGTTCTGCTCAGTACACAAGTATGGAATGATTTCATAGTCCAGGTTACTAAAGGGAAAGCTGGAGATGTTAAGGAATGAAAATAGTTCACCTGCTCCTCCACATCGACAGTATAGCGAGGCATTCCTTCAACTCTTCAATATCTTCACTTCGGAACAGACTTCTTACACGATTCCATTCGACCCTACAACTCAAATATCAATTGAGACGTTATGGAAAGCCAAAGCGGAATTGCAATTGGATCCATATTAGAAAGTTCAAACTTCTGATTACCTTGCTGCATTATCATAGATGCCACCCCGTCCCTGTGATAGCTCGCTATGCGATGGATTACGCATACAGAGATGCTGAGTATGGCCACAACATCTGCCCCAGACGGGATTCAAACAGCAGCTCTCGCCTTCCGGACTATTGCTACCGATTACACCATCGGGACACCTTTTCACCTTACTTCGATAGTATTTAGATCCCAGATTGTCAGCGCTCACTTGTATTATGTAATATTTCACTGATATCGGCAGTTAACCGCTGAAGGTTTCCAGATATTACAGCTCGATTGCTTTTAATTTGTAGACTGTATAACTCTGCGCCTTTGATACCTTTTGCATGAAGACTTGCGGCAAAAAAACAGCTATACAGAAAAAAAAAACAAGATGCCTCAACGGTTTGATCAACAGCACTGCTTTCCGAGAAGTGAGAGTGAGAGGTGCGGGTACGATCTAAGGCGAAGTGTTTTGCTCATAACCCACCACCCTGTGCCGAGTCTCGGCGTATGTCTTCACTATGAATTCAGCCGGTAATTGAAGGAAGCGATTACGATAAAGAGGGAGCGCATCGGGGAAGCATATGCACCACACGAAGCAGTTACTTGGCTGCCAAGGAAGCGAGGTGTGGCGCTTTCACGACGAAAGGTGCGCTGGTTGCTGAGCAGGACTTCGAAAGCACTCCCCCAAAAGCGATCCGCCCACTAGTTTACTTGTTGATTTGGACGAGCTGCGTGGCCAGCAGCGGCGCAAATGGAGCATCTCGATTAAAGCGTGTTTGGCATGGTGCCATCAAACGCGTTGCGGTGAACTCGTTCATACGTCCACTTTCTGAGCTGTTACCTGTTCATGAGTGAAAACCAACGGCCAAAAAAGGGGTCCCGTTTTGCGTTTTCTTGACGGATTTTTCTGCTTTTTTCGCTACTGGCGTACCATTGAGCACCACCACGTCACACTAAACCCTTCTTGAATTTATCGTAATCGCTTCGTCTCCACTAACCGGTTTGCATGCCCCGCTTAGGCCGATGTCATAGTTTGCGAATCGCTCGATTCGCAAACTATGACATCGGCCTTAGTGTAGACAACTAAATTCCCTTCCATTCTTTAAATCACTGTTTCTCGATTCCGATGGTCCCGATATTGAAACTATCCTTGAACAAACTTTTGGATTATTCTTGTGGGTACCCCTTTCCGGAATATGCGTTCCGCCTGCACTGGTGAAACCTTCGCACTTTTTGATTAGCTGAGCTCATTAGGTCGTCTTACAAGCTAGCTTTTTCAGCAGGCAACGCCCATTCGAACCATGCCCAGTCACTGCAAGTAGACTTTCTATTTGCATTTTTTTATATTTCGTCCGCAACCCCAGGCTCTCGTTTATCACTTTTTCCGACTCTGCAGGCCAAATTTTTTCCAGTATTTCTTATAGCCTTAGATATTTTAAATTTTGATATTTTGAAGAGTGCCTAAAAAAATAACAACTTACGCCGTATAAGGAACACGAAAACACGTACTGCTCATGCGCCAGCCGTATTTGAGAAGCTTCCCTAAACATAAAACAAAGCATATTCTGCATAATAGCCGTCACAAATTAAAGCATTGCCGCAGCAACGAGAAAAATGAGTGCACAATACTACCGTACTCATCAACGCGACGTGGTGGGGAAGGGCCCTGAGTTGCTTCAGGGCAGGAAACGCATCGACTAGGCCCGAATTATTAGCCACAGCATCCGATTTTCCATCCCAATTCAGTGAGGTACCCGACAGGAGGCCCGTCGCGCGGCAAGCAAGGCAGAGTCAGCGGACGAGTCGCAGCGCGTACTGTAGTGATTTCGCGTCAAGTTAAATAAGTTTACCTGTCTGTACGTGCACACCAAGCGCTGCGACTCTGCCTTCTTCCCGCGCGATGGGCCTCCTGCCAGGTAGCACCCATAAAAAGCACAATAGCAATGTTCTATCGAGCACTCTAACCCCTGTTACGGCTATGCCATAGTTTTTCACAGAGCAAAGGCAAATTTTTGAAGAAACAAGTGATTTTTATCACAATAATATTATGGATCCCATCATCTGGAAAGCACTGAGAGCATAACCTTTTATTTGCTTATAAGCAATCGCAACAACTTGTACAACATAACTTACATTGGAAGACGTCACACCGAAGACAATTACGCTAAACATGTGCCATTAGTCAACTGTAAATACAGGAGATGACACAAAGAAAGCACATCCATTCCTAGCAAATTCTAGGTCTATCGCTAGCAACTTATGCTACTCCTAGACCTAATGATAAGTGAGAAGCTATGGAAGCAGTGGATTACAGCTATGTACAACTCAGACCAGTACAATTGTAAAATAGTTTACAACCCGATATTCGGTACTACTTTCTTGGAATACGTGAACGGTGTACGAACTGCAGCCAGAAGACCTTTCTTATTGAGAACAGGGAGTGTCTGACCCATACCTGGAATAACGATTACAGCAACCACTAGTGAATCCACAAATTGCATAAAAGTGCTAATTAAAGAGCTGAGGAAGAAACTGATTACCGAAGAGGAGATCCCTCCAGATCGAGCATAGCACCTCCGAATGCTCGAAGGATTGCATCTCCTGCACAGGTGTCCCATTTCTTGATTGCAGTTTGATGAATATAAAGCTCTGAAATCAGCAGTAATAAACCGTAGTTTGCTTCCCTTACAAAAAATTAGGATGGTTAGGAAACAAACCAGCAGTGCCATTCAATAACCGCAGAGTTTTGTAGCCACTTCCTCCAGCTGGTTCTACTGTAAACTCATCACCGAACGACTGCTGTGCCAGCTTTTCAACAGCACCTGCATGGGATCTAGAACACGAACGAATTTCTCAACTTTACGTCTAGGGAAAAGCCACATCTAGATCAAAAATGAAATGAATAGCGGATAGACTGACCGTGATACTACTATTTTCTTCACTGTATCTTTTAGGTCCACCGGGGATAATTTCTCACCAGATGACGTCATCACACCCCATCCCTTGACTCCAACAA